AATGGTTTAACAAAAGAACAGTAAAAGCTGGCGAAAATTATAATTTGATTAATTAGTGAAGTGGGAGAAAAAGATTTATTTAATCAAAAATAAAGATAGAATCTGATAGCACTGGAAAAAGAGTCAGTTTCTCCATTAATAAAAATATATACATGCTTGAAAAATTTTTATGAAACAAAGAAGGTAGTTTTGACCTTATAAATGAACATAAAACTTTAGGTAACCTTTTACAATTAAATAAGGTGATATTTGCTATGAAGGATTTTTACAATTAAGTAAAATGGTTTTTGTTAAAGAGGAAATAAATTCATACACTTATCTTTCGGGATATATTAAACAACACGTAATTAAAAAAAAAAAAAAAAAAGTGAAGGCATAACCTTCCCCCCCAAAAAAAAGAGTTCATATGCTCAATATATTATGCAATATATTTATGAGCGTATGAAGCAACATTTTGTACTTAATATATTAAACATATTTCATTGTATTTTATACCAGTTGTTAATAGAATATGTGTGTGATATGTCCATGTAACTTAATTCCTTTCTTGGGAATTAAAATAATTTCATGATTATAAAAGATGACAATATATTACATAAAAATTGTAAAATATGCTTCTTTTATTAGAATGTTGTCATGTCAAAAAAGAAGCATTTTTTCACACATTTTCCTTAAGTTCTCTGCTTTAATCTATACTTATCAGTTCGTTAACATATGAAATATGTTTTCATATTTAGGAAACATGAAATCACTTTCTTTTAATTGCATTAAGAGAAAATGTCGACTTTTAAAAACTCTTTAAATCAATATTACTATTTAAATTTTCAGTGTCACAATACATGCGCAGCGGCACTTAGCAGCGGCACCTTAGAGATATGAACAGGCAGCGACATTATCGGATAGACTTGAAGATTCGCTATTAAAACATTTTAAGTCAATGTTTGATTTTTCTTACAAATACCCCCTCCACCTCATGCCCACATACCCTTTTAAAATTGCTACGTGTTTAGAGTTGCGTGTATTAAGTAAGAAGACAAATCATTTTTTTAAAAAAATGTGTTTAATGGGTATAATATAGAACTGAAACATTAATTTAAAAAGTCTTTTTATTCCTTAAAATATTTAAGAAGTGAAAAATGTAAAACTTACTTTTCATGCCAAGAACATGTAGTGGCTTCTTGACTTACGGTAAGAAAATGTCTAATTATAAATTTAAGTGGAACATGAGGTGTGATCTATTAATGCAAGAAATATTATCAAATGAAATATCATTCTAAAAGATTAATAATATCATTTCTATCGTATTCTCTCTCTATCTTTCTTCCGGATACACAGATAAGCAAATTAAACAAACAATAAAAACCATGACATTTAACAGGCAAATAGAAACGAAACGAAAACTTCCAGCAATAATCAAAATACCACATTCATCGCTTCAATAATTTTATCATCAAGTTTTTATTCATTAAATTTGCTAAGTTTCATGAAACGTGAATGGTTAGAATCTTCAGAGATCAAATAAGTATTATCTGCTAATTTTAAGATATAGTTGCTTCACTTATAGAATTTCATAAACGACAAATGCCTTTTTATCATGTGGAAGGAAGCACTCTTAAACAGTGCTCTGCCTATCCTTGTACAAAGAAGCCTTTCGACCAAATACTATAATTACAACTAAATAAAAATACAAAGCATTTACGATAATAATATTAACGTTACATATATATAAAAGTCTGCTCCATAAAAATAAAAACGACCGCCTTTTAAAAGTTTTTTTAACAAAATAGCTGCATAAAAAATCAAAATGATTAAAATCTAGAAATATCATCCGTAATACATATGGAAACATATGGAAATATATGGAAACACATGGAACATATACATATGGAAACTACATATGGAAACAAGCAGCTTAACTTCTTAAATGCTTAACTTCATAAAAGGTATTTCCGAGGTGCCAAACAATAGCCGTAAAAATTAAATGAAATATTAAGATCTTAGTTTGAAAAATTGGAAAAAAATATTCAGAAATTTTTAAAGTTTATTTAATAAGCAAAATAGATGCTTTAAATTTTTATTTTAATGATTCATATATATATATTGCACGTAAATGAAGAATGACGCCTTTTCAAAATATTCAATTTAACGGCAGAAGTTACCAATATCTGCGTACACTCAAGTCAGGACTCTGCTACAGCATCTTATATAAATCTTGTTACCACACAAACGAATTTTTTTGAAATTTGGGAAAGAATAACAACATGCGAAATGAAGAATTTCTGTTATTTAATTAAGGCAAAACACGCAACGGCTACCTGCCAAGGAGAGAATGCCTTCGGGGAAGAAATTCTAAAGCAAACTGACCCGTTTTTATATTACTCGTAAGGAAAGCTACGAAACCATCCATGCAGCCAATCCGTACGCCGGAATAAAAAATGGCTGAAGCAGTCAGGAAAATCAGACCTGCTTTATCTTCATTAAAATTCAGGTTGGCTTTCACATTCTTCTCATCCTAAAGATGACATACGGAATTTCTTTAGTTTTTGCTCACTGAATTCATATGCATATGGTGTGCTTCTTCGTTTTTGATTCTTCGTAAGAAATTGGCAAACACAGGTAATTAGATTTACAGCTAGATATTTAATGTAGGTGACTGAAAAGAATGGCTGATAAAATAGAACAGTAGTACACATGAATAATTTTTATGAGAAACCTGTTTAAGGAAGCCAAACAAAAACCCTCTTTCTCTCTTAATTTATTGTCTGTTAACAACATTTTCATTTGTCATGCCTGATTTCAGATTATATAACACTGCAGTTCACAAAATAAGGTTTCTGACATTTTGGGTAGACGAATACACAATCTTCAACGTGTATGGTAATCAAGTAGAAAAACCTTTTGAAATATCGTATAACTAACCAGGAATACTATAAAAAGGTTAACCTGCAACACTAAAGACCATTTTGTAAATTCATTAAAGCATTTTGTTTGTCAAATTTAGTAGTTTTTCTGCATTCTTAAAGTTCTTCTTTAGACGTATAAACATTGACAGAAAATACGCGCATGATTTTATGACAAAGACTGCGAACTTTGGATACACTTTTTTCATTTAAATAAATACCTACTGATATATATACGAAGGTCTTTTTTTTTTTCATAAAGTAAGACATGCACTGTCATGTTCAGATAACGAAAGAAATGATAGCTTTAAATATATTTCATTCAAAAAAAATATATAGGGTTTTATCACTGAATTCTCTACTAAAGTGATCTCATTAAAAGTAAAATACCAAAAATCAATAATAAAATGATTCAAACCTATCGATAAATTAAGAAACTTAACTGCCATATAGAATACAGAATTAAGACATCTAAGCTCAAAATTTCTATAAGCTTCCTATTCAAATTTGCCTCTCAATTGCTCTTGCATGATTTGATACAAGGAAATACAAAACATATCTTAATTTCTTACAAATGAATAAGGGGTCTTTATATTTAAGTTTCCAATAGCCAGTTCTGCTTATCCTCCAGGTTGGCTAAAGTTGTAGTTTCTTCTTTATGTAGTGACCAGAAAATCATTTCTTTGGTTAAAAATAAATTTTGGAAACATAGAGAAGAATAAAAAGACTCAACACATAGAGATTTTTTCAATCTTACTGAACTACTAAAATCAGAATTGTTTTGCACAGATATATTTAAAAAGGAGTGAAACATTGCATTTCGAAATCACCAATGTAGAGGAAGATACAGGAGGTGTGAATTTTATGGGTTGTTTGACAGTCATGAAAATGCTATATCCGCATTTTATACATTGATCCAATCGGTCTTTAAAGCTAAACCAATGAAAACGATAAAGAAAACACTTTAAATAAATATATATCTTCCTACTTCCTAAACCGAGCAAGCAACAAAAAATATTTTAGTAAACAAACGAAAAACGTAAGTAGATCAAGGAAGTTCTTCCGATTGGATGTGAAAAATGTGATTACAGAATATATATATATATATATATCAGGTGGAATAAAAGCGAACTTGCCTTCAACAGCATCTGCTAAAATGTAAACAATGAAAGAAACTGCACCATTTCTGTGAACGGTCAAAACGTGGCAAGCTATTTCTTGTACAAATGCTTTTCTTTCCTCCAATATAGTTCCCTATTACGTTAACAAAACAGATATTTAATTCAAGAAAGAATTTTCTTCCAATTTCTTTTGTGAATTTAAGAAATGAATTTAAGAAAGAAAGCAAATCAAGCTACTTATAAAAACTTGAGAAAAAAATTTGTGTACTGAGTCTTTAAAATATTTTCTACTTGTCTATCAACATTCTCCGGAAGGAAAAAAAAGTCCCCCAAATATTTAAGTGAATTAAGAAATAATTAACAAGATGCTTGTTTATTTGTTATTCAGAAATAATTCAACTGAATTTCTTAATGGCTTGACACAAAAAAATCTATTGCAGATTTCTAAAACAAAGCTAAATCATACCACGTGATTTTCACGCGCATTTTTTCTAGCACTTTTAAGAGTTATTGAATGATTTAAATTTTTTCACATTCCCTTTCCTAAACATATAGGATGGAAGTGAAAACATCTGAGAAGCACACATGTGCAAATTTCAACACAAATACAGCAATTGAAGGGAAAAAGAACATCAAGAACAAACTAAAGGCAAAGAGCATCCGACACAATAATAGTAAACAATATCCTTCACTTTCTGAGAAACGAAAATTGTTTCGGTAAATATATCCAGCCGAGCATCGATTTCGTCGACCTAATAATAAGCTCAACCTTGAGAAGGGTCGAGTAGCTTCTCATAAATAAACAACATCTGAGGACCTGACACGACGGAGGAAAAAAAGAGAGAGAAGCGAGGCGCGAATCCCAAATCAACGCGTCCACCATTATTGTTGCTAACCCTTTGGTGCCGAGCAGTGCTCGCGCATCCCGGGCCGCGAAAAAGAAAAGGAAAGCCGCGTGTGCGGGTGGGGAAGTACTCACCATGATGAGGAAACCTGAATCGGGGCTGTGTCAAGAAGTTCTTCAGTTTTTGGAGGGAGATAACGGGCGTAGCACATGCGATGCCCGTTCGTTCCATGGCCGTGGAGGTACCGAGAAAGGCAAGACGACTTGGAAAAGCGGGAGTAGTGCTGTCATGGCGAGAGGAAGAATTCAGCATCCGTCCGCTGTCGGCCGCCGCGGTGCAAGCAAGGGAGTGTGTGGATGCAGAGATGAATTCACTGCCAGCTAGCCACTGCGCCACAAGCGGGAGGGAGGGAGGCAGTGCCTTTTGTCCGACGCTACTGCCTGCTGGTGTTAAAAGGGTTGAGCCAATGATGGATTTTTTTCCCCCCCCGCACTTCCTTCTCACTCGGCTCTCCTTACTCGCTGTCTGTCTATTCGGAGTGTGTTAGTAGGACTGCCTGCGCTCGTACTACTGCTACTACTACAACTGCCTCGCTTTAACCCACGTGGCACACACTACTACCAGTGCCATGGTAACGCTATTTTTACTTCTCGCTCCGCCTTACATTCACAACTCGCACGGCGGCCGCCGATTGCTCGCGATGCCATCGATCCAACCGACGGGGGATAGGGGGGATTGGTGGTAGTCCCCGCTGAATAGTTTCGAGGGTGCCATAAAAATCACAACGTAAACACGCAATAAAACAAAACCATCATCTTACTATCGCCTAAGAAAGGACACAGGAAACCGCTTCGCAGCCATCTCTTGTGTAGAGGATATTTACAGTAACCAAAATATTCCTTAACACTTAAAAAGAACAAAAATTAAAATAAAATTTGAAGCTATAAAGTTTGAGCTTAACGGATAATTTAAAGATTAATTAAGTTTTTAAACACAAAATTACGAAAGTAAAATAAATAAACAAATATTTAACTAGAATAATTTGACAGCAAGATCTATTTTCTTTAATTATAGGAACAAACAGAACAAATAAATTAAAAGTTTTAATTAAAGCGTATTAAAAAAATTTCAAAGATTTAAACGAATTATTAAAATAAAAATAATTTGGCTAATAATAATTACATGACATCAAGCGAATTCTTTCTATGAACATTGAAATAAATAAATAATAACGCAAACAAGAATTTTATGATAATTAATATGCAAAATAAAACAATACCTAATAATAATAAGCATTTTTTCAGGTACTTGTTGAAATGAATTAACATTAACTAAACAAATTACATTTCAACTTTTAAAAATATAATAATTTTTTAAAAATAACTGCACTTTTTTAATAATTTTAATTTAAAAAAAAAAAAACAGAGAGTAAAAACTGTGCATTTACTTTTGAAGAAAAAAGCTAACGATAGCAACTAATAAATAAATAAATAAATAAAGTTAAAAAATAAAAGTAAAAAATAAAATAAAAAAATTAAGTAATCAAGTAAGAATTCTTGTTTTAACTATTTATCGAAAGTATCTTCAATGGTCCTTAAGGCATAGCTTACTTTTTTGTCCGTTTACAGCAGATTAATTTTTAAACATTTTAAAATTTAATTGAATTCGAAATAAATTCCATCCAAACTGAATCAACACTTCAAAAACATAATCAACAAAAAATTAATTCAATTCTAATCAATTTCAGATTCATCTTGAAAAGAAAAATAATTTTTAGACATTAAATTTATACCATCGTACAACAATTAAACTACATGAAAATGATAACTAATTAAAACAGTGTCAAATCATTACGCAACAACAAATTTATCATGAAACCTGAAGCTTTTGGAAACACAATCATGATTTAAAATGATGTAAATATCAAAAATAGCCTTCAGAAATATTCAAAATGAGCCGTGAATTAAATTTTAGATGTAAATAAAACTGAAGTTAAAATTTGAACCTCAAGAAGCAGTTAGAAAGTTATGTTAATGCATGTGCATTTGTTAAGTGTGCAATTAAAACCCAAAGATTACAAAATGCCAGACTATGACGGCCAAGTCTTATTTTAAAAGCATCTGCTTTTACGATTCAAACGAAAAGATTATTTTTTCTTCCATCACCTGGGGTCAAAACACAGAACAGCAGAAATACTAATGCTTTGCGCTTAAAAATTGTATCTAAAATTAAGCGAACGTAAACATTTCTTCTGAAAAATTAACAAATAAATAAGTCATTAACAGAAAACGCAGCAAAGTAGAGCCAATAATGGCCTTAATGAGAGATGCACTTTTTCTCCGACCGATGGGCATTTTTTTTTTTTTTTTTTTTTCATATTAACGAAATAATTACGCATAAAAACCATTCCTGACGGCAACAAATGACATTTTTTTTTCCTCTCTCTCATTGCTAATTCGAGGGCAAACAGAGTTTTGTCGCAGGAATTAAAATAAATATCTTATCTTAAAAAGTCGCTCAATCAGAGTAAAGAAAAGAAACAAATCACTTTTTAAAATATCGACATATTGACGAAAAGAGGCTAAAAGAAAAAGTTACGAAAAATTTTTTTAAAGTAAAAGAAGGGAAAGAGAGGGGGAAAAAGTCTGAAATTTTCGACGTTGATTTTTTTTTGCGGTTTTTTAGGATAACGGAAGGGATGAAAATGAAAAGACATCTACAAAATTTCGAATTAAAATTACTCTTTTAAAAGCGATGGACATTTCGAAAAGTGCCATTTAATTCAATGGGGGAAGGTTATAAACATTAAACTTTTAAAATAAAAACAACAAAACAAAATAAAATATATATATACAAAATAAATAAATAAATAAATAAATAAATAATATATATATATATTTTATATTTATATAAAATAAATATATATATAATATATAAATATATATATATACAATTTGAAAAAACAAATCGAACTGTCCACAAGTTTCAAAATTTTATGTCGTAAACCAGCATCTAGCATGTCTGCAGTATTATCATCTTTTCTAGGGATAATGAAAAACTGTGTTTTTTGATGAAATTGGGAAAAATAAAATATCATGAAAATTGATGTTTTACTTCAAATAATCGCTAACTTCACTTTAAAAAGTATTCTCTTTTCAAATATACGACATGCAAGGAGGGTAACTAAACATGGCGATTATAATATATAGATTAATTAAAAGAAAAAATCAAAACATCTTAAGGCGGTTTTCATTTATAATGCTTCATTTTAAAATTCTGAAGCAATGCATGGCTGATTTGCCTAATTGCTAATAATTTAGAAGTTACTAATCATAATTGTTTTGTAAAAAGTAAATAATTTAGTTTAAAACATCTAAAGTACACATAAGCATTTTATATCTGCGTCGCAAAATGTTTCTCTTTATGTCACAGGGAGGTGAAATATATTTTAATAAATTTACCAGGAATTTAATACGTAGATGTAACTGGACGGAATAAAGCTATATGAATAAATTTATTCTTATTCCTAATTTCAGAACTACCAAATGAACAAATGAGTCCATCTCCTCTTTGATAGCTGTCAAAATAGATTTCTTAACATGAATATTACAGAGAAAGTAGATATAAAACTCTCTCTTTCTTTTACATACAAAGCATAATCAAAAGAATGTTAAGATGAGGGAAAAAAAGTAAAAATTCCAAAAGTTGGTGAAAAAGTAATACACATATTTGGCTCGTAAAATAGATTCTACTGTAGCATTAATTAATTCGTTTCTTTTTTTTTTTTTTTTTAAAGTTCCAAAACTATAATCAAATTCATCTTCTTCCTCACTAATCTTCAAATTCTTAGCAGCTAATCGATACATTTGTCTTACTTCTTCAAAGTTAGGGACTGAAAAACACAGTGTTATAAAACTTAGGCCTTTTTTGACCCAAAGCATTAAAAATAATTCACATAAAGGATGCTAAGAAGATTTGAAATACGAAACCGAAATACAATTTATTCGCAACTGGTCCTCTAGGCAGTTTTAATTCACGGAATTTCGTTTCTTAATCTGGAAATTAATAATAGAGAAAAATGGCTACTTTAGATACATGTAAGCTCTTCGAAATCGATATCTTGACCATGCAGCAAAATTATTTCGCAATTTTCCTGAAGCGAATGGCAGAGACGCTCTTCGAAAAGCCTCCCCCAACTACCGCCATTAGTCGCGAGTCCCTCCAAAAACATGCAGGAGAGGCATTGACCAGCGGCCTCTTCGTGGCACGCACGGGAAGGTCGAAGGGGGAAGATACCCCGCGTTATGCCACTGGGCAGCTGCGCGTGCAGAGGGGGCAACACTGTTTTCTAGCACGCATGAGGGGAAATAGGGGGAAGTGCATACGGCCATTCTAAACCCCGCTTCCAATTTTCAAGTATCGATCAGGGGAGGGAGGTCTAAAATCTAAGCCTAAGGGGAAAAAGGAAGGGGGAGGGAGAGAGAGTTCGCAAAGCCTAACTGAGCAGCACCGCACCCTCTTATGGGAAATGGACCATGCCGAGTGATCAAAGGGTTAGCTCCATCTCCCTGGCCGCCATGACAGTTGGACGAGAAATAAATTACAAGGCTTCAAGGAGGAAGGAGGCAGAGTACGCAAAGGATTGTACAGAGACCTGCGCAAACGGTTGCTGAAAATCTTGACCAGTTTGTTCGGACAGCGCGGTTAAAATCGAAGCGGTTTGCTCAAGACCCTCGCCTCGAAAGAGGCGAACTGTCGCTGCGAAGAGCAGAAAAGGAAACTAATCAATGCGCACGTCCGGGTTCCAAACATTTTCACAAAGGACGCAGTTCTGGACATCATTAAATTGAAACGAAACAAGACCCTTCGACACACGGTTATTAAACTCGAAAATTGAAGATGTGCATCGAAATTTTGTTTAAAATAATCAGCATTTGTTCCCCTTAAAAATACACACTTTCCTTTTGTGAGTTCGAATAAACTTACACTTCTAATAAACCGAATAAACAGAAATTTCACTGAACAATGGTTACGGATAGAGATGGATATTTTGAGTCAGTGAAAGGCACTAACTGCAGGACAGCCTGAAATAAGCTGCTCTATAGATGGCGTATACGAAATGCCATCACTGAGTAACTGAAGCCATAATATCAAATAAAAAGTACAAAATCATACACGCGGGGAAAATAGATCAATATAAATATATAAATGATTACTAAAAATTATGAAAACGGCCAACTGGCAAATTCTTAACTTTCCTTTTGTTTATTATGAAAAGATGATGACATTAATTCAGCTCGTTACCAGCAGGTACTACAAATGAAACATAATTATAATCAATGACTATTTTCATACAAAACCTACATAAAACATATAAATTAATTCTCTTAATTAAAGAAATATTCTATAAGAGACAGGCAGCTACTTTAAAAATTATTTGAATACACTGAGAGTGAAAGAGGAATGTACATTATTAGTATATATGTAATTTGATTTTTCGAATTTTCCTTATTACTTCGAAGCATCAAGTACATCGAAGGCTACTCCCGAAAGATTACGATTTTTTTTTGTACGCATATATATTATGATAGCAATGGAAAAAAAAATGTTTTCAATGCGGAAAAACTTATAAGAAAGGGAAGAACAATAGTCAGAAATAAGACGTGCAATCCGATACGAGATACATGCAAAATTAATGTTTAACAGTGTCATTAGCGTAGGTATACATCATCTCGAAAAGCGTCAAACGTATAGCATTAGTCCTAACACAAATGAATCTGGCTTTAATATGTTCCAGCAGTAGTGAAAAATAAAAACCCAAAGCACGCACTTGTGGAGAATCTAGCAAAAGCCCTCATTACGTGATCGCCATATACCCTCAAACTCACGGAACGCTTCATTCACCCCGGTACACACTTCCAGTTGTAACAGTTACTCCTTTCTTCTTGCAGCGGTTTAAGCATATTGAATAGAGTAGCATCTCCTCCGTGGGTGTATCACGTGATCGCAGCGGTCACCAGGCACGCAAAAACTGATGAACAGCTGCCGCAGGAAACATCAACATAACAGAGAAGAAAATAGAGAAGGGGGGAAAAAAAAGACTATCCGAATCCGTCGC